ATATTTTATGTAATAGTCTATTCCACATTAATTGACTTGCTATTATAGCGCTTCTTTTAAGACTAGTCTACTGAGTTATATAATATATTGTGTTTATTTTGAATTATATTTTTTTGGGACTGTTCAAATAAATTCATTAATTCGTAATGCTTTTTATTTTTTCTCTTCCACATATTTTTTAACTTTCTTTTCCTTGGTCGTAAGTATGAACCATAAGCAGTATACTGACAATTAAAAAAAAATATGATATTTCTATGATGAATGCATTAATTATATATTATATATTTATTATAAAACATATTATAAATAATTACTGAGTAAACATTTAATTAAATAAATTTATTATTAACATTATATAATATGAACATAACTATTAATATTACAAAAAAGAAAAATACCCGTACTTGTCCACGTCCCTGGAGATGCAATATCTCCCGATAATTCTTCTGCTGTTATTCTTATTTCTGGTGCTGTCATCAAGGAATTATTCAATAATTTATCGTCACATTTGTAAGGATTTTTTAACAAATAGTCATGAAAATTACTTTTAAATATATGCAGTTCTTTCTGAACAAAATTATTATAATCTTTTTTATCTTTTTCAATAATTTTCTCATATGCTTTTACACATTCTTTAACATATTGATCTTTATTTATTACAACATTAAAATATTTAAAATTTTTATATAATTTATCAAACATTTCGAATATTTCATATACAAGATGATCATCCATTAATGATACATATTCATTACATACATCAATATTTTCTAAGCCTGCATTTTTGTATGCATTCTTTATTTCTTCGTGAAGCTTAACAAACGAATTAATTTTCCTATTAGGATTTTTATACCTTACTAGACGTTTTAGTTCATAGATGAAAAAATTATAATATGGTTTTCTATCATTTTCTCTTTTATCTTTTATTTTATACAAATAAAGACCAAGATCTAGACAGACAAATGTCAAATTATTGTACCATAGTGTATTACTTGAAAAGTCTTGATTAAATTTATTGCAAGCCGCTTCCAATTTTTTTTTTACCGTAGTGTTATACATTGAATTAACACTATAATACAAATGCTGACATGTGGGAAATATATCCTTAAAAGATAACTAAAATTGAAATATGCAGTGCATATAAATGTTTTATATTTGCAGGAAAAATATTTTTGTTTGATTTTAAAAAAATGGGACAATTTAAATATATAGTAATATGAATTATATTTTTAATAATATGTACAAACATACATCAGCATTAGCTACTTGCGTTTTAAACATTATATATTCTAAGTAATCATAAAATAAAATTATATTTATTATTATAAATTATATCATCCTTTAAGAAGGAGAAATAATATTATATTGGTATTACAAGCATTATATTTATTAAATTATAAATATAATAAATGATTAATATTTTCATTTTTATATATTTAATTCTATAATATAATTTGTTATTATTACATATAAGGTTTAGTATTCATATGTAAGATTCAATCATGGAATTTTATAGTTTCAGTTTTCGGTTTTATGATTTGTGTTATTTATTTTATCATACAGAATCAAGAATTTATATATTTATATGCAGTGTCATAAAATATGTATATTACGTTTCTATTTCAGTATATATTGTAATTTACATTAATTATTTTTGAATTAATATAAAGTGTAAATGCATTATTAATATTTTCATAATAATATATATATTATTATTAGATATTTCACATTTATATTATTTCTTTTTTGGTATATAATATACGTAAATATTTTTTCAATAATAATTATTTATTATAATATATAATATTTTTAATTCTTTAATTATATGATTATATTTATACACTTAGTATAAGCGTTTTTATATTTTATTAAATGAATTGATGCAATTAATTCTTCACACATCAGATTTATTATACCATTACATTTTGATTTTTTCGTTCAACATACATTAATGTTTTATATTTTCTTCGGAGAATATATTTTTTTTTAAGCTCTAATTACAATATGTGCGCATTATTATTTCTTTAATATTTAAGGAAGAGAAATAATATGAGATATTTTTATTTACATAATAGAAGATTCTTATTTATACAAAAATACTTACATGTATATTTTTTTGTTTATATAATTCTATTATAGTGTTTCATATGAATTAAAAAATATATTTTCAAACTGGTTCATTGCAATCAATATCATTATTTATAATCATATATATACCATTCATAATTTATTATTTGTATATGTATAAATTCACTTTATTCGTAAAGTAATGATTGATACACATTGTAAAGACATACTAATTTATGGATGAAATGTTACTCGAATATAATTATATATTTCATTTTTTATTATATATTGATGTAAAAAATATATGTAAAGTGTGTTATTAGAACTATATGGATAATTTAACAGGAGGTAATATTTATTTTGATTTATAGTATAATTAGTTTTAACCCATAAATTAACGATGAAACGCAATTTCTGCAGTACAAAATAATTAATTTTATATCTAATATTTAATCATTAAGAGTACCGAAAATATTTTTTATGTATTAAAATAAAAAATAGTGCTAATTACGTATTTTTGATAAAATAATTTTTATTCTATATACATATTTTTTTCTGTATATCTATATACATTAGGGATATTTTGAATATATATATTATGCGTTGTTCAAAAAGCAAGCTTTTAATTCATTAATATATCTTCCAAAGTATTCATCAAATAATATTCTATTATAATTTATATCTTTTTTGATACATTAATTATAGCGTATATATTTTTATAAAGGAAACATATATATATAAATTCAGTACAACTTTTTTTTTATCGATTTTATAAACAAAATCTTTGACCCTAATGTTTTATTTTTTATATAAAATAATTCAAAAATTTATAAATGTCACATATTAATTTTTTAATGACAGTAATATTTTGAATGTTATTAACGAGTAACTCTAATTTTATTGAATCAATATATGTTCTCAGACATATATTATTGGGAAAACATGATATATAAAACGGACTATATATAAATGTATTAATATATAGTTTGTACTAAGGTTGAGGTAACAGAATGTAAAAAATATTATCAACCTGTGCTCACATAATTAAGAGAATCTACCATATATAAGATGTTTTTTTTTTTTATAGGTACATAATATTGTATAGTAAAAAAGGTAAAGGCAATTTAATTAAAGGATTAAATTGTTCTATGAAAATATTTATTTCACATAATAAAAGTATTATATAATCAAGCACAATACATAATATACCTAACTATTAAAAAAGTTATATAAATAATACTCCTTTATATTTTATTTTTTATTTCTTAAATACATTCATTAGGATAATAATACCTATATTTCTTTGGAATTATGAACATATATTATTTATGCTCTACTAAGTAACGAATTCATATTTGATATAATATAACCCAGATGATGATAAAATATGGTTAATAATCTTTAAATAATTATATTCTATATAAATTACAGATATATTTGTTTTATATTTAACGATGCATATTTTTATATTAATAAACGTTGTGAATTATTAAATTATAAAAAAAAAGGAAATCAAATAAAATTTGTTCCTATAATTTTGTAATGATAATTATAGTCAACATTAATAAGGGTGATATAATTATTTATGTTACCGAATATAAAAGTCCACATTTCGTCAATTTATCCGAATAGGTAAGACAAGAATCTGAAGGTGAATCATTAAATATACGTTTTTACACAGTATTGTTTATATTTTTAAGCTTATTATATTTTATTTTTTTAAAATATATTTTTGAAGATAATTTATTACTTACAATAACATTTATAACATATACTTCTATGTGAATAAAACAATTTTAGTGTTTTATAATAATTGTCATGTTTCTATGTGCGTAGTATTAACATATGCTTAATGTATGGATATGTTTTTGCATAGAAAGATTTATATAAAAATTATTTATATATTAGTCAATACTTGTGCATAATATGTACTGAAATGATTATTCATTATTATTTATACCTTTTTTTTTTATTGATTATTTTTTTTTTTTACAGGAAATAGAAAAGGAACTCTTTTGAAATTCATAAAACTGTTGAATGTTACAAATTAAAAGATATATACTTATTTATTCGTTTATATAGTAATTAAATAAACTGTCTTGAATTCATTTTCACTTAAATACCATATACCATATTTATTCTAAGTGTATAGAATGAATTTATAATAGAGTAAGTGAATTATTCGAAGAAAAATATCTTATTTATTTTGTATTATTAGCATAAAATATATTCAAATAATAATACATGATTTGCACAATTTTAAAGAATGATTATAAGATTACATATTTATTC